CAAACCACTGCTCAGTGAAATAAAAGAAGACACAAACAAATGGAAGAACATACCATGCTCATGGATAGGAAGAATCAATATCGTGAAAATGGCCATACTGCCCAAGGTTATTTATAGATTCAATGCCATCCCCATCAAGCTACCAATGAGTTTCTTCACAGAATTGGAAAAAAACTGCTTTAAAGTTCATATGGAACCAAAAAAGAGCCCGCATCTCCAAGACAATCCTAAGTCAAAAGAACAAAGCTGGAGGCATCACGCTACCTGACTTCAAACTATACTACAAGGCTACAGTAACCAAAACAGCATGGTACTAGTACCAAAACAGAGATACAGACCAATGGAACAGAACAGAGCCCTCAGAAATAACACCACACATCTACAACCATCTGATCTTTGACAACCCTGACAAAAACAAGAAATGGGGAAAGGATTCCCTATTTATTAAATGGTGCTGGGAAAACTGGCGAGCCATATGTAGAAAGTTGAAACTGGATCCCTTCCTTACACCTTATACGAAAATTAATTCAAGATGGATTAAAGACTTAAATGTCAGATCTAAAACCATTAAAACCCTAGAAGAAAACTTAGGCAATACCATTCAGGACATAGGCATGGGCAAGGACTTCATGTCTAAAACACCAAAAGCAACGGCAACAAAAGCCAAAATTGAGAAATGGGATCTAATTAAACTGAAGAGTTTCTGCACAGCAAAAGAAACTACCATCAGAGTGAGAATATTTTTACAAGAATATTTTTACAATCTACCCATCTGACAAAGGGTTAATATCCAGAATCTACCAAGAACTTAAAGAAATTTACAAGAGAAAAATCAAACCACCCCATCAAAAAGTAGGCGAAGGATATGAACAGACACTTCACAAAAGAAGACATTTATGCAGCCAACAGACACATGAAAAAATGCTCACCATCACTGGCCATCAGAGAAATGCAAATCAAAACCACAATGAGATACCATCTCACATCAGTTAGAAGGGTGATCATTAAAAAGTCAGGAAACAAGATGCTGGAGAGGATGTGGAGAAATAGGAACACTTTTACACTGTTGGTGGGACTGTAAACTAGTTCAACCATTGTGGAAGACAGTGTGGCAATTCCTCTAGGGTCTAGAACCAGAAATACCATTTGACCCAGCCATCCCATTACTGGGTATATACCCAAAGAATTATAAATCATGCTGCTATAAAGACACATGCACATGTATGTTTACTGTGGCATTATTCACAATAGCAAAGACTTGGAACCAACCCAAATGTCCATCAATGACAGACTGGATTAAGAAAATGTGGCACATATACACCATGGAATACTATGCAGCCATAAAAAAGGATGAGTTCATGTCCTTTGTAGGGGCATGGATGAAGCTGGAAACCATCACTCTTGGCAAACTACTGCAAGAACAGAAAACCAAACATCGCATGTTCTCACTCATAGGTGGGAATCGAACAATGAGAACACTTGGACACAGGAAGGGGAACATCACACACTGGGGCTTGTTGTGGAGTGGGGGCCGGGGGGAGGGATAGCATTAGGAGATATACCTGATGTCAATGACCAGTTAATGGGTGCAGCACACCAACATCACACATGTATACAAATGTAACAAACCTGTATGCTGTGCACATGTACCCTAGAACATAAAGTATTAAAAAAAAAAAAGTCAGGAAACAACAGATGCTGGATAGGATGGGGAGAAATAGGAACACTTCTACACTGTTGGTGGGACTGTAAACTAGTTCAACCATTGTAGAAGACAGTGTGGCAATTCCTCAAGGATCTAGAACTAGAAATACCATTTGACCCAGCCATCCCATTACTGAGTATATACCCGAAGGATTATAAATCATGCTGCTATAAAGACACATGCACACGTATGTTTATTGTGGCCCTATTCACAATAGCAAAGACTTGGAACCAATCCAAATGTCCATCAATGATAGACTGGATTAAGAAAATGTCGCACATATACACCATGGAATACTATGAAGCCATAAAAACGGATGAGTTCATGTCCTTTTTAGGGACATGGATGAAGCTGGAAACCATCATTCTCAGCAAACTATCACAAGGACAGAAAACCAAACACCGCATGCTCTCACTCACAGGTGGGAACTGAACAGTGAGAACACCTGGACACAGGGCAGGGAACATCACACACTGGGGCCTGTAATGGGGTAGGGGTAGGGGGGAGAGATAGCATTAGGAGATATACCTAATGTAAATGATGGGTTAATAGGTGCAGCACACCAACATGGCACATGTATACATATGTAACAAACCTGCACGTTGTGCACATGTACCCTATAACTTAAAGTATAATAATAATAACTTTTAAAAAAAGCTATCAGCAAACTAGATATAGAAGAGAACTTCCTAAAGCTGATAAAGGATATTTATGAAAACTTACAGGTAAATCATAATTAATAGTGAAAAACTAATTGCTTTCCTTCATGTATTTGATTTGTTCTTAATAGTACGAACAAGCAGAATCTAAGTTTTTACCACTACTATTCAATATTTTAGTGAAAGTCCCATCCAGTAAAATAAGGCAAGAAAGAAAATAAAAGGCTTATCAATTGGGAAGGAAAATATAAAAAATGTCTTTTTTTCATTATCAGTATTACCAATGTAGAAAATCCAAAGGAATCTAAACAAACAAACAAACAAACAACTGTAATAACCATTGAGTTTAGCAAGCTCCTAGGGAAAACATCAATACACAAAACTAATCCATTGTATTTCTAAATACTACAAGAAAAGAACCAGAAAATACCATTTAGAAAGCAGTGCCATTTGCAATAGCACCAAAAATTTAAGTACTTTGGGAGAAAGTTAAAAAAACTTGTACAATGCCTGTGCAAAACACTGCTGACAGAAATTAAAGAAGACCTAAATAAATGGTGCAAGATTGGAAAACATGATATTGTTAAAAATGTCACGCTTCAGTTCCTTGACTGTCGATCCAGTACCAGGACAAATCTTTTATCGTTTACTCCCCTCAGTCCAGTGGTCCAAGTTCTCTAAGCTCTGTCAGCTTACAGCATCAATAACTGACAGGAATCTTGGAAGAATAAAAACTGGCTTCCATCTTTTAAAAAGGTATCTTATCTAATATATTTTTAATGAAGCCCATAGAATTTTAATCTAATGTGATGAACAAGAATAGATAAGAGTCTATGTTAAAATGAAAGACAATAATGAGGAAAGAAGGGAGAGTCAGACAGAAATCGAGTGTCACAGAGATGAGCAAGGGAAGAAATAAGGGACAATGAGGCAAAGAAGGACAAAGAAACAAAAGAGACAGATGAAGAGAGAAACAGAGAACTAAAAATGAGGAGCTGACAGAGGCAGAGCAGTAGAGAATGAGATTGAGACATGAGCAAGGGGTAGGGCGAGAGAATCAGAGGCAGAGACACAGGAGAGATACAGAGATCAAGGTTCCTCAGATAGAGAAGAGAAGAGAGAGGAGTCACACTCTTCCCTGTCCCCCTTCCCACTCCTATCCATCTTCCCGCCCCCAACGGAAAAAAAAAAATCAAATCAAACACTTATCATCCAAACTCCAATTACAAATCACATTCATTCTGCCGTCATGGAAATGAGTAACCAGGAATTTCAATTTCAGTGAGTGCATAGAAAGGATGGAAGCTATTAGTGTATGTGTGTGAAGCAGACACACACACACACACACACACACACACACACACACAGCTAGTGCCTCTGTAGCATTTCTCTGCTCCTATACCCTATCTCAAGCTGGTGCTAGGATCACTTGCGCTGCACAAAAGAAGAAATTGAACCTTGTAAGGCAAAGGTTTCTGAACCAGAGGGAGGAACCTGGCCAGCTCCATGCCCTCTTTCCTCCCCTCAGCCCTCAAAGGACACCCTCTGAGGAGCATGAGAACTCTTCCTTATTTTCCTTGTTTAGAACACTCTCCACCTTCTCTCAGAAAATACCCCCATCCTTCAAGTTCCCCAAATTATTCAGGGACAGAATCTTGTCCACCTCTGCTTTGAGCATGAGTATAGGGCCTGCTACCCAAAAGTCATTAGTAAGTGTCTGTCAGGTGAATAAATGTACGCTGGTTCTAGATGTATACATTAGACATGTTTGCTATTCATGTACCTATGAACTTTTGTAAAGTAATTCATTCGTAATACTAACAAAAATGTTCTCCTAGTAAGTTACTTCTAAATCTATCTTCCCTCCAGTGTTCTTAATCTCAGTGGTATTAACGTCATTCAGACTCTTCAACCCATCTGAAAACACTCTCATCAAATCAATAAGGCCTGTTGATCTCATCTTCTAAATATCTTCTACTTTATCTCCCATGCAATCTAGCCACATGCTAAAAGAAAAATCAAATCCTCCTGAATAGCACTCCTTCCATCATCCATCTTGTTGTCACTAACCTTTCCAATCAAGTCACATTCTTTGTTCCACCTTCAATGGAAATCTACACAAAAATACTTACTATTTCTTTCAGAATTAACATTAAACTCCTTATTTTGGTATTGAGAACTTTCCCAATTACACTCCAACTCACCTTCCCAAAGTCATTTCCTACTCCTCTCCCCATCTCTAATAACATCAAGTTTTTCATCATTCCCTATGTACTTATGCTCCTCCTCTCCACCAGGCCTCTATCCGTGGACATTCACATGTCCTTTCCCTCCTCTTTCTCTACATCTAGATCTTTGAACTTCCAGCTTAAGTTGCATCTTGTTCCTCAACCTGATCACTGACCCTAAAGAGAGTTAGTCATTCCTGTCCCTGGATTGCCAATGCACTTGAAACATACATTTATTACTGCTCAAATTGTAATACATAGTTATTATTTAAATATCATTTTTCTCCATTACATTGTGAGTTGTACAAGTGTAGACTGTCTCATTGACTTTTAAAATATCACAAAGCTTAGCACAGAACCTTGCACACATAAGAGTCAAATAAATATGAGAAAAGCAAATAAACATACCTTTCTGTGCTTTAATTAGTTGTTTTCCAATTTCTAGTGTCACAAAGGCTGTGCCATTTAGAACTATGTCAGTTATGGTTTTCCAAGCATTAGGAGAAAGTCTTTCAGTAGGAGAAATAAAATTCCCTGCTGCATTGTTTATCACAATCTAATAAATGGACAAGGCAAGTTACAGAAACTTTAGATGAGGAAAAACATTTTCTCTGCAGGGTTTTTGTTTCTGAAATACATTAATAGAAATAATACAATAAAGTTGAAGTTCACAGTTACCTACGAAACAATACCATGAAATTTAGTAGTCTGAGTCTGTGAAAACCTCCTATGTTAGTTACCAAAATTCAGAATCCTAAGCCGTCTTTAAATTAGGGTAGATTCTGTTATTAAGAAAACTAAAAGGGTGCAGAGGCTCATGCCCGTAATCCCAGCACTTTGGGATGAGTTCAAGACCAGCCTGGGCAACAAAGCAAGACCTCATTTCTACAAAAATTTTCTTTTAAAAATTAGCTGAGTGTGGAGGCATGTGCCTGTATTCCCAGCTACTTGGGAGGCTGAGGTGGGAGTACTGCCTGAGCCCAGGAGGTCAAGGCTCTGCTGAGCCATGACTGTGCCACTTGCATACCAACCTGAGTGACAGAGCAAGACCCTGTCTCAAAATAAATGAATAAAATTTTAAAAGGTAAAAAGAAAAAGAAAATTAATACAGATAAACATATATACCATGTGACTCTATTTTATTTCAAAGATCTCAAGAAATGCCTTTTTGTTTCTGGTGTTATTTTAGTTTAACTTAACCAAAGCAGCTTGTGGTTGATTATCTATTTACCATCAATAAAGATTCTGGCTAGTTCTACAGGAGATTCAATGTTATAGGTTCTGAAAATATCATAGAAAGTGCTATCTTTGAGACTACTGGAAGAAATGGCTTCTCTCCAGTAAATATACCAAACAACAGCAAAATATTCATGCATATTTCAGGTATTAAAAGGAGAAATTTTGAATTTCTTACAGTTTTTCATGTTTATATTGTTCTCCACTGAGGAAGACAATCAAAAGTTATTAGCAGAAGCAAAAAGCATCAATCATTTAAACTCAATGCTGTGCTCTTGGATAACTGCTCTTGTTATTTCATAATCTTATTAAATAAAGTGAAATCAAGTTTGTTTTCCAATCAATCATAAATGGATTCTTTAAGTATTCCTGAAAGGAAGTCGTGTAGTGGTCTTTCTACTCCGTTCTTTGCTTTAGCAGAACTGGCATTTTCCGAGGGACAGAAAATAGGTGCTTCTCAACACAGCACTTGCTCATATTGAGGTAGGAGGCGGGCCTAATTCTGGAGGCAGAGCTCCAACACAGGACCAGATTGAGGACTAGTTAAACCAAGTCCTAGATGAAAGCACCCCCTCTTTAGACATATCCACCAATGCACTATGTTTGTTTACCATTGCCATGGCAATGCCAGCAAGTTACTGCCCTTTCCACGGCAACGAACTGATGACTCAGAAGTTACCAACCCTTTTCTAGAAATTTCTGCATAAACCTAGTTAATTTGCATGTAATTAAAAGTGGGTACAAATATGACTATAAAACTGCCTCTCAACTGCTATGCCCAGCACATTGACTATGGGGTTGCCCTGCTCTGAAGGAACAGTCACAAATCCATTCCGCTGCTGCTGCTGCTTCAGAAAAGCTGTTCTCTTCTACCACCAGCTCATCCTTGAATTCTTTCCTGGGTAAAGCCAAGAACCTTCCCAGGCTAAGCCCCAGACTGGGACTTGCCTGTCCCACATCAATATCAACATTTTATTTCCTTTGTACAAGTTGTTGGGTGTTATCAACATCAAGTGTCTGGCAGTTCGGCTTCGTCATCACTACACTTACATTAGGATGTCCTGCAACTTTGATCAGTTCTGACACAGTGTTTTGAACCATATCAGGATCCCTCACATCACACTGAATTGCATGAACCTGCAAAATAACAAAAAGAAACTGACATTTTCCAGGTTTCTTAAACCAAACACATGAACAAATTATTTGAACATGTTATAATTCCTAAATCTAAATTAAATAACTGATTTTTAATGTACCTTATTTCCAGTTTGAGAAGAAATTTGTTCTGCGGTAGCTTTCAAAACATCCATCTTCCTAGAAATAAACACCTTGTATGACTTCATATTATATTTTTCAATTTCATTAATTGAAGAATACAGAGAATCCATAGCTTAAAGAAAAGCATTTCTGAGAAAGTATAGATGTTATTTATATACAAAAATCAACGTGAATTTTTTTCTAAAAGTCAAATTTAGATCATTTTTATATATTGATACTAATTTATTGAATTAGTCACTTTTAAACCAGTTACTTTAACATTCTACTCACAGATTTAAATTATTCCTTAATAAGCCAGCTTTACAAAGAAAATATATTCATAGTTTAATGTTTAATTAAAGCAGTAACCATAATCATTCCCACTGAAGACAAAGCAACCTCCATGTAGTGCTTAAAAAAAAAAAAAAAAGTTTCTTTTGAGACAAGGTCTCACTATGTTGCCCAGCTGGTCTCAAATTCTGGGCCTCAAGCGATCTTCCTGCCTCAGCTTCCCAGTAGCTGGGATTACAGGCACACACCACCCCACCTGGCTGCATGTCAAGCTTTTTAACTTCATCTTCGTGTACAAAAAAAGAAATATTCTACCACTGAATTGGGGAAATTAAAATAATGAAAATTGTGGATGTTTACCCAAACATCAGTTCCACAGTTTTCATTGTTTCTTTCATCTCAAATAGTACCTGACTTTTTCAAAACGATTTATTTAAATAATCTAAAGAATATTTCTAGCATTTCATATAAGATTAAGATGCTAATCAAACAACTCGGGCAAACAGTGTTTTCAATACTATCGCACAGAATAGTTTCTTCAAAAGCATCACCAATAGGCTTGAGGTAAGGGACTTACCGGCTGGCTATCACGCACTGAGCACCTAGGCTGGACAGAAGAGCCGTCATTCCTTTACCAAGGCCAGTACCTCCCCCGGTAATGAATGCCACTTTTCCTTGAAAACTATTAGGTGGTAGCATCGCTTTTTGAAGGGGTGGAAAGAATTTAGACTGCAAAGCTTCAGTGTTTTGATATAATATTTTTGTCCCATAACTGAAAAACTAAAAGGGGAAAAATGAATTGAAATTTGCATATATATATTTCCAAAAAACAGATGCATTTTTAAAAACATGCTCTTGAATTTAATAGTAATCAAATTCTTGTATTAACACAAACTCTTTGCAAACATATTGGTATTGTACTTAATTATTATTCTTTGCTTTCTGATTTAAAAAGAACAGGCTCTGGAGCTGGATTACATAGCACAGAAATTTCTCCCAAGCTGTATAACCTTCAGCAGGTTATTTGACCTCTCTGTGCCTCAGTTCCTTCATCTACAAAATGAGGACAATAAAATAAATTTCTTCATATGGCATTGTGAGGATTATATGAGTTATTATAGGTAAAGCACCTAGAGCAGCGTGTAGCATATAGTAAACACTACAAATGCTTACATTATTATCTGCAGGTGTTTTACTTAAATTTAATTTTGTTGTGTTTTGGTTTGGTTTTTGGTTTTTTGTTTTTTTTTGAGACAGAGTCTCGCTCTGTCACCAGGCTGGAGTGCAGTGGCATGATCTTGGCTCACTGCAACCTCCGCCTCCCGGGTTCAAGCGATTCTCCTGCCTCAGAGTAGCTGGGATTACAGGCACGCGCCACCATGCCCAGTTAAATTTCTGTATTTTTAGTAGAGACGGGGTTTCACCATGTTGGCCAGTATGGTCTCGGTCTCCTGACCTCATGATCCGCCTGCCTCGGCCTCCCAAAGTGCTGGGATTACAGGCATGAGCCACTGCACCCGACCAAATTTAATTTTTTAAAAACTAACATAAAGCATTTTTGTCTTTCAACGAAAATAATCTGGATAAAAATCCACCTTTGAATCACTGAAGAAAATTGTTAAAAATTCTCTATAAGGTTTATTAAATCAAATGCCTCTTCACATGCTAGCTTCTGGCCACAAAACATGAAACAGAATATTTCTGTTATTTATTTTAAATGGAGGGAAAAATCAATACATTTCAGAGTCAAAAATATTTGTATTGCCCTATTTTATATGTAACAGCTTGTACTTACATTACATGCAAACATCACTGCCATTCTCTCACATTTAATCATAAAACAAACTTTAGGTATTTAATATAATGAACAATAGGAGCTAACATTCATTAAGTGGTTACCACCTGCCAGGATTACATATCAAACTATTTAATCTTCCCAACAACCACAGGAAATAGGTATTAGTTTTATCCTGTTGTATAGAAAGGGCTCAGAGTGATAAAAAATATATATATTGCCAAAGTTGCAGAACCACGGTTCAAACACAGACTGACAGGCTCCAGAGCCTTCTCTGATAACCAGCTTGCATATTCCTCTGTCTATTCTCTGAGATCCTGCTAAGCTTAATGATCACACCAGGGAGGTTATGTGATATTCCATTAGGTTATGGTGGCAAGATTAAAACTCCAGTTAAAACTCCAGAAGCTGCCATTTCCTTCCAGAGTATTCCTGTAAGCTAAATAGACTGTCATCAGTTGATTCAGGATATCTTGAAATTTATCCTAAGGAAAGAATAAGAAAATGTGGTCAATGATTTAGAACGAGGCTGTTCATCAACTGGAAACTGCACAAGAAAATGTTTATAATGTGATGTTAAATGAAAAAAAAAAAAAAGAAACAAATATACGGTATTTTTTAACTACAAATAAAAATATATGCTTAGAAAAAAAGACTAGAAGGAAATAACAACAGTAAGTAGTAGATTCAATATTTACCATACAGTCCTCAAAACAGCTCTATAAGGTAAATTCTATTGTTACTCCTATTTTATAGATGAAAAAAATTGAAGCACAGAAAGGTCAAGTAGCTAACTTTTAAAAATAAATAATAATAGGGAATAAAGACTTAAATCCAGTATCTGACTTCACAGGCCACCCATTAGTTTACAGTTATGGCTAAGTGATGAGATTATAGATAATTATTTGCTTTGTTTGTTTGTTTGTTTGATTGGCTTTTAGTACTTTCCAAATCTATCCAGTAAGTATGATTAGATCTTTATAAGCAGAAAAAAACTTACTGAAAGACAAAATTTGAGATCATGTATAAAATAATTGAAGATACATTTGTAAATCTTGTTATGCTCCATAGTCATCATATTTATTTTAGCTTCATATTGACAAAGCATTTTCTTTTCATATCCTTTTGCCAAAGCACAGTAATCCAAGCAACTCCACAATAATCTTTTTCTACATAAGTGGCAGTTTTCCTTAAGGCTGCCACCTGCCTTCAGAACTATTACATTAAGATGATGAATCAACAAGTTTACTCAAATAGAATGGTAAATTTGTCGTTAATAATAATGAAAAAAGTATTCTAATTTTCTGAAGGCTTTACCATAATTTTTAACTTTTTAATGTTAATGTGTATAGGGGATTTGATGTGGGACTTCATGAAAATAATTAAACAAGATATTTGCATACAAACTTTATTTTTAAATTTATTTTAAAACATTTCCTCAACCTCCTCACCAGTAGAGAAAAGGATATAAAGGTAAAAATGTCACATGTGATAAAAATAATTCCTAGTGTCTACAATGTAACAGGTTATTACGTAGCACTTTTTTTCTTATATGATCTGATCAATACTAACTTTATGATTCCACTTCCCCACCAAAGTGAAGAAATTGATAAGCTATTTTAATTCTCATTACCCCCTAACAATACACAGCATATGTGTTAATATAAATTCAAGCCATCTTCTCTGCCTAAAAGGAAGATGTTCATTTCAACATTAAGACCCACTGAGATGATCAGATGTCACAGGGTCACATCATACTCAATCCCCTGTTTCTACAAAGAAGCATCCTTAATAACCTGAAACAGTATTTTGATTGGACTTTTTTGAATTATAAAAAGTGGATACCAAACAGGCTTTTAAAGATTTTCAAGTCCTGCTTTATGGTTTTTAGAGAAATAAGTTTTTTTCAAAAATGTAAATAATACCTTTCATATCAAGATTGATTCTCTGGAGATCTTTAGTGACCTAAAATTCTTAAAACTTTCTAGAGTCTTCCAACTTTGGCAATACAGAATTATTTTTGTTACAAGCTCTAAATCTCTCCCACAAAAAATTAGCTATCACCCACCTTCCTCACCATACTCATCCCTCTCCCACATCATATAAACAATAGCTTCCTCCTTCATGTATTCCAAAATTACAGCATCTAAACTAATAAGACATGATCACACTTTTAATCTTCAAAATGGCAATTCCGAGAGTCCTGACACTGCACCTTCCCCTCAAGGATAAGGACTGTATATCCATGAGATATATACATAAATTACTTAGGTATAATTTGGCTAATCTAAAATGTCTAGGGTATCACAAACAGAAGTAGATTAGTGATTCTAGGCCAAATATGTTTTGTTATCCTGCCCAAATTTTTTAAAACTTGAGCCAACATTTAGATAATGGAAGAATTCACATAAAAGTCAGAAGCTCTACCAACACTTGGGCACACCTTCCCACATGATTAAGTACGACTACGACAGCCCTGCTGAGACAAGGCCTGAGCTCTGCCCAGCCCTGACTCACACAGGAAAAGTGAGCCCTTTTCACTGGGTGGCCTTTCATAAACAGGGCCTTCAAGGACTTCAGGCATCTGAGTATGTGACTCCTAGATGCCTAGTCTAAGTAACACACAAGAAACTAAAACAAACAAACAAAAAAAACGAAAGAGGAGGCAAGGCTTTTTTTTTTTTTTTTGGCACCATAACTAAATTTCATGTAAAAGAAATTTCTACAAAAATAATTGTTTAATGTGTTAGGTACATTATTAAGAAGATCCAGTTTCAAATATATAAAATTCATAAAATAACAGACTCTCATATGGGAGTTGTGAGGCTAAATGAATTATCTTTTGAGCACTTAGTTTAGCTATTTATCATCGCCATCATCATCGTCATCATCATTATGGATGGGTCCTCCACATTAAAATTCCATTCCTCAAAAACATGGATGCCTTCCAAAGTCAAAAAGACAAAAATCAAACTCTTGAGCATGGCATTCAAGCCACCGGACAATATGATGCCAATGTATTAATACTTTCCTAGCCCCACCTCATGATTGGTCTGCCATGTAGAAGTAAACTCTACACTTACCAAGCCCTCAGCATTCCAAAAACTTGTCAACTGCTTTCACCATCTGGCCTTTGCTCCTGCTTTCTCATTGACCTGAACCAACCACTGTCTTTCTCAACCCAGCAGAATTGGCCTTCAAAACCAGACAACATTGTCAATATCTCTGTCAACACTTTTTAAATGGCACCCTATTAAAAACAGGCAAATGGAAGGCTTCCAAATTGGCCTGCTAAGGAGTTGCCGCAATTCATATCAATGTATCAGGATGCTCAGGAAGCCAGGGACACTACCTTATATTCATCACTACAGTACAATTTCTGGCACCAATTAGGCATTCGGTAAATGCTTGTCTTACTGAATGTAACATTTGGTTGGCCATCCCAAGAATAGAAAATCTAAATCATCAGGCTGGGCGCGGTAGCTAACGCCTGTAATCCCAGCACTTTGGGAGGCTGAGGCAGGTGGACCACCTGAGGTCAGGAGTTTGAGACCAACCTGGCCAACATGGTAAAACCCCATCTCTACTAAAAGTACAAAAATTAGCCGGGCGTGGTGGCATGCGCCTGTAGTCCCAGCTATTCCAGAGGCTGAGGCAGGAGAATTTCTTAAACCCAGATGGCGGAGGTTGCAGTGAGCCAAGATCGTGCCACTGCACTCCAGCCTGGGCAACACAGCAAGACTCCCTCTTAAAAAAAAAAAGAAAAGAAAAGAAAAGAAAATCTAAATCAATCTATGTTAAGTATTGAGTTACCTGCAAATAGAAAAACTGGACAAAGGGCTTAGAAAGGTACTCCACACAAACAAAAAACAAATATACAACCATATTTATAACTAAATAAGCATATTTAAACAAAAGGAGACACAATTTTTCTCTTACTAGACCAGTAAGGTTCAAATTTTATCATATATAATACAAGAAACAG